TTGTCCCAACTTTGTTATCAGAGCTGAGCTGTGCCGTGCAAGAACTCCCTCCTTCCATCCGCAGCAGGAGCTGGTCTGAGCGGCACCCCGGGGGGTGTTGAGGGCTCCTCGGAGGAGAACGGGCTGCGGGGCCGGTGCACTGATGGGGACAATTAGTCCCTGTCACAAACCTGTCCCTTTTCGAGAAGACATTTTGGCCAAACCAGACTTTCAGCTTGAGCCAAGCTTAAATATGCCTTCATTTTTGAGCAGCTGTTTGGAAACATGAGGCTAAGACGGGGAAGGTTTATATTGCTTCTCCGTGTCTGGATACGGCACACGATGGTCTGGGCAGGGTACGTGAGGTTTTACCTGCTGAAGGCTGCGTATTCTGAAGAATGAGTGTGTGTGTGTGTGTGTGTGTGTGTGTGTGTGTAAGGTTTATTTAGGATGTTATCAAATGATTGGCATATCAGGCTATGCAATCAGAGAATATTCACCCTTCTGTGAAGCATCACACAGCGCCCAAGAGACTCGGCTTCCCAGCACTACAACATAGCCAAGGGATAATAACAAAAATTGGAGGTGGTTTATAATTGGAGAAATGGAGGGAATATTGGAAGGAGGGTATGAAATCTCTTGGCAGGAGGTATTTTTAGTGGCAGCACTGGTGCAGACTGTTGCCCTGTTATCCACACAAAAGATCTGGGAAACTGCCAGCACCTCAAGCTTGCTGAATTTGGATCCTCACACCTGGTGAACGCTGACAGCAGAGAGGGAATTACAATCAGAAATCACTCACTTAATGAATTAACGAGCTGGCTCCCGGGCAGCAGGGCCGACACGTTCCTTGATCCTGATCTACCTAATTATTTTATACATGACCACAGTCAGACAGAGCCAAGAAAATACATGAATGCTACCAAAGAGGAGGAAAATGATGTTGTGGATGATTTGAAGGAAGCTGTTAGCCTGACCACTCTTTGCTCCCATTTCAATGTAAATAAATACGTAATTTCAGTAGATCTGGAGGAAGGAAGGAAGGTGTTTCCTGCTCTGATCTCAGCCAACGGCTCCGCACACCATGAACTGCAAAATTTTCTTTTCTGAGCACTGGTTTTATACGTTCTGAAACCCTTCACCCTTAAAACAAAATCAGGCCTTCTGTACTTCAAGCCAAAGTTCACTTTTGGAAACGGAAAATGCTTTGACCCCCATGAAGCTCTGATTTTGTGCCAACAGTTTTATTAACATGGACAAGTGTCATTTTTCTTTTCCCATCCTCTTCCATAAACTAGCCTGGACTGCGTACATGGTTTTGGCTTCCATGGATCCCAGGATAAATCACGTGCGCCCTTGTTTATTTTTTGCTACTTTTCAGACAGCTCAGAGCTCTGGTTTATTAAAAAAAAAAAAAAAAAGTTGGGAGGAACGGGTGACAAAAGTCAACGTGAATCAAGCACCTCCAGTAATCAAGTGTGTCTGAAAAATGAAAGGAAGCAGGATTTCACTCACACTCACTGGATAAAAAAAGCCTTTCTGCGTGATGTGGTGAATCAGAGACGAAGCTGACGGTGGATTTGTTATTTGCTGGATCTTCTCCAGTCCAGAAAAGGGGCAAGCGGCCACTCGCTCATCGCCTTCCCAGCAGGGAAGGGGGCTCAGTCCTGCTGCCGGGCTGGCACTGCAGAGGTGCCCGTAAAATCTGCGCATCGCTGCCCACGGGGCCCCACGGGGCCACGTCTGACCCACTTTTACACCATTTCAGCCTCCAGACCAACGCCCTCGCTTTTGCTAACTTTTCTCAGCTTTTGCAGTACGTAACAAAAGCAAAAATTTGCCTGGAGAAGAAGAAGAGAATTAAGCCTAGTGTTTGGAGAAAGACAGGATTTGAATGCCTCAGAGGACATGTGGACCTGTTGGTGAGGGATGCTTTTCCACCACCACCGAGCAATGCCCAGGGAGCCACAGGTGTAAATCTAGGTGTCTCTATTATTATTCATGAAGACCTCTCTCCTCTTGACAATAAAGGAGTACACAATACTAAAAGGAGAGAGGGAGGTGTGAGATGTTGTAGTGCAAGTGAGAAAAGGCAGCTTCTCACTTAATGGCAGCAGGTAGAGGCGTTGAGAAACAGAAAAAGATAGCGGGGAACCGAGGACTTGCGTGGCCCCGTCCTTGCAGGCGCAGTGCCGAAGCACGGCTCACTTCTTATCCCCAGGTGGGTGGTGGTTAACCGGGGCGCAGGGACAGTAAATAACCACAGCCTGACAAGGTAACGATGGGGAATTTAACATCTTCTGGGGTTTTCTCTCCTTTTTCTCAGTAGACATTTCCCAGCACGGTGTTCGAACCCAGGGTGCTCACGGTGGCTTGCCTATGGCATGGGCATGGCATGCTGCGTGGGATGGATCCCTCGTGATAAATGGCTGGAAAAAACTCAGGGAGGTTCTCGGTGCCTTCTCGAGGGATTTCTTTCCTTGTTGAAAATGTGGCCTTGGCCAAAGCACTTCAGCTACCAAGAGCTTTGCCATGAAAAGCACCGGTCAGAAAGCTCTCTGCTAACAAACTGTCACTGTTGATCATGCATGAGGACTGACAGTTTATAACCAGCACCAGCATACTTCATTAGATTTCTTTGGGTACTATTTTTTAAGAGCCTTTGCTTTATCACCTGTCAGCTTAAGCTACCAGATTCTTTGGTCTTTTCCTGAGCTTATTTAATTAAGCCATCCAGTATTTTGCAGTACAGGTCAATTCCTGGGTGCAGGATCTTTTATTTAACCTCTGTCTGAACCAAAGCTCGGCAGAAGAAGAAAAGGAATAAAGCGATATATTCAAGGCTTAAGCTGCTGTTGACCAAGTCATTAAAATGCTGGGCTAGTTTGCTTTCTCAGGGAGTGTGAGTGAGCAGGTCTGGTCTTTAGCTCTACATATCAACAAGCGAAGGCAAAAGAAAAGGATTATTTGTGATTACCCTAAATGTGGTTGTTTGGAAGGATTAAAAAATATAAATGAATCCCTTTCTGTCTTCATCTATGGAGGTGAAAGTTCTGTCTGGCTTCTCCATGAAGTTACGAACACCCACCTGAGCAGTTCATGAATGGCCGTGTGTGCTCGCAGCTCTCGGTGTTGTCTGAGACATCGCATGTGCAGACACGAACCCCTTATTGCATGGGAAATATGGATGAAGGTATTTTCCAGAAGAGCGCTTGGGAATTTGTCTACAATATGTTTAGACAGCCAGCCCTCAAAGGGCTGCAAAACTTAGTTACAATCATATAAGCAGCAGCATTTTTTTTTTTTAAATTTCTGCTGCATAGTAATTTGGCTTGGGCAAAAAATGTCTTTTTAAAATTTTTTTAATATCTTGTAATTAGCTGGGTCAGAATCTGGAGAATATTGGGTGCAATACCTGGTGGGAGAAGATAAAATGCAACTTGCAGAAGGGTGCACACGTGTCCCTGGGGAGCTCTGCTGAGCTTGCAGTGAGACATTAGGCCCCTGGGAAAGGCAATAAATTGGAGTCACCTTACCCTGGAGCTGCCCAGGACTTGAGGAGACGGGAGAAGAACAGGGGAATTCTCTCACTGTAGACAACGCAGCGATTGCCCCTGCCACCATCTTGCTTCAGGTTATCAAGTGTGCAGTGATTGAGTGATTTCTGGGCTATTATAAAACAGCGGCTGTATGGGATTATACGAGTTTTGCTACCAAACCAGTGTTGCTATTATCAGAGTTTTAAAGAGGAGAAAAATTAGGAAGAGCCTGAACTGATCCAAAGTATTTTGGTTTTAATCTGGGTCATTTGGCCATATTTTTTTTTTCTAACGGAGAAAGGAAAATGGAAACCTGAATTAAAGCTGTGACTGACTGCGAGAAACTCTTTTCTCCTACATCTTCAGGAGAAATCTGGTTTTTCCCACACCTCTAATGAAACAGAGAACACCTTCAGAGCAGCTCCTGCTTTTACCCTGTGAGCAGGGGAAGGAAACCACCACTGGGTTTCCAAAGCCTCTGCTTGTAACAACTGAGAGGAATTTGCACACCTGATTTACCATGGGCAACGCCAGCAGTGCCCCCCACCCTGCACTCTGCGTCCCCTCCAGCTCATCTGCTCAAACCCAATCCCACAAATCGAGTTTGGTTTTAAAACTACATCAGTCCCCGTCACAATCAGAGCCTAAAACCAGCACCAGCTGAAAGGTGTTCAGGCTGGAGCTGGCCAGAAATAGAAAAAGAAAGAGGAAAACTTGATGTTGCCAAGTTGTTTCTATTTCACAGAACAGGAAATCTATTTTTTTCTTAAATTTGAAATTTTTCATTGATCAGCTTCTCCCCCATTGACCACAATTAATTAACACTCAGGTATCTCCTTAGCTTCCTTTCTCTATATGATTCTTTTTAATCCTTTAAGGGAAGATTAGGACTCAGAAAAGTGACACTGGGAGAAAAAGAAAATAGTGGAAAAGAGATGGTAAAATTCCTTAGAAAACTCTTGGTGACTCATCAAGAAATAGATGAAGAAGGAAAGAGACCAAGAGAACAAACAAATTTATTTTCAAAAGTTTGGGGCTTTGAGACAAGAATTGGACAATTTTGGCAAATGTCAAAGCATTTGGGGGCAATTTGAATTTCCAAAAAGAGATAATTTTAATTTAAAATATGTTTGGGGTGAAAGCGTTTACCAATTTCAACCTATCACTCTTCAAATCATATTTACTTAGACACCTCTAGCCAGTTCCATGCCAACATATTAAGGGGTGATGGCTTTAAACTGAAGCAGGATAGGTTTAGACTGGATCTAAGGAAGAAATTCTTTACAACGAGGGTGGTGAAACACTGGAATGGGTTGCCCAGATTGGTGATGGAGGCCCCATCCCTGGGAACATTCAAGGCCAGGTTGGACGGGGCTGTGAGCAACCTGATCTGGTTAAAGGTGTCCCTGGGTGACCTCTAGGGGTCCATTCCAACCCAAACCATTCTATGATTCTGTGATTCTATGGTATGTGAGTACTTACGCAGGACCCTCACACCGTGCTTCAAGGCTTGCACGCGGCTGGGCTCCATGGACATGCTGAGCATCGTCTGCTGCCCGCCGATGGTGCAGACCTGGTTTTCCTGGGCAGCCTGCTTGAACATGACCATCAGCTGGTTGGCAATGATGGTGTTGAGCACAGAAATGACGACCATGGGGAACACGAAGGAGATGAAAGTGTTGACCTGTGGGGGAGAGATATGGCACGGTCAAGGGATGAGAAGGGTCAGTGGAGCAGGAGGTTGTGTTTTATTTCTCACAGCAACAGAGAAAGAGCTGGCAGCGGCAGTCTTTCCTCCTCTTACTCTGCTGGCGTTGGCTTTCGAAGGCTTATTGCACAGAGGGAAAACTCAAACAGCACTGACATACATCCATTCACGTGGGCCAACACTCAAAAAGGCAAATCCATTCACATCCAGTGATGCTGTCGTCCCGTTTTCAGTGCAGTTCATTGCCAGAAATGGCTCCAGTGAAACACGCCATTGATCTTTTCATCTCGCGAACAGCAGGATGCCTCTTAGCTTTCATTGTGCCTAGCGTAACTTCTAAATAACAGCACGTTATTGCATTTTTTCTTTATTATGAGCACTCCTTGGGATCTCTTTAACTTTCTTTTTTGTGTTCTGTCCTTTCTTTGTAGATTTAATGACAGCCTTTTGTTATCTCATAATCAATTTATCCAATAAACCCTGTGCCCTAAAGGATTAAAATTGATCGGAATAAACAAGTGGAAGTTGTAATGTTTTTAGTGCAAATTATTTGATTACTACAGTTCTGATAAAATTAAATGGAGGATCAAATTAAGCAGTGATTGAATCAAGTGGAAGTCACTGTTTGTGCCAAATAAAAGCAGGAAGGCTTTGTGAGTGCCTTCTGCACCGTCTAGAAACCCCGCTGGAGCCGAGCTCCACAAACGGCAGCCCAGGGGAAGGGAGGCACGAGCAGGATTTGCCCACACGTTTGTGGCAAGGCTGCCGTGGTGGGGCCGTGAGCTGCTGGCTGCCGGTGACACTCGGCCTCTCCGCTGTACGGCTCGGGAGGAGGCTCAGCCCATCACTGAGATGAGCGTGGGACAAATCGAAAGCCCCTTCAAGTTTTAAAATTCCAAAATCTTAACAAGAACTAAACCGTGCACTCCAAATCACTGTGGAAGCAATTTTATCAGAAGTGATAAAATGACAAAAAGATACAACTCCTAAAGCCAATAGGGGACTTTGCCCTGCGAGAGGGTTACAAGATGTGCTAAATTCCTCCCCCAATAGCCACATCTTGTACCTCAGTGCTCTAAAATACAGAAGCAACCCTGCACCCCAAGCCAACCCCATGTCCTTCTGCAGACGGCAAAACCAGGAAAGCCTTATCTACAAATGAGTGCAGCGTCTGCTCGGATCAAGACATCTCCTCTCCACCCACCCCCATCACCTCGGTGTACAAGCACTGGCTGCACACCCAGCATCTAGTGGAGCTGTGTGATCTCTTTGCTCTGTAGGGATTCAGAAATGCCAGAGATGAACGGAAAGATGGAGAAAGAATCCAACCACACCCCCAGGATACTACAGGGGATCCATAAAAGAAAGAACTAAGAAGCACATAAGCATATGGGGAGCAGGTGCCCTGGCAATCAGAGGCACTTAAGCTTCTTTGTTCATAAATTTGAGAAAGAAGCAGCGAAGACAGGCAGACCTGTTGTTGCCAAAGTTTTCTTTAGCTGGATCAAATCATCTCTCATTTATGTGGGTAATAATAACAGTGCTCCTCTGCGGACGGAGGAAATTCCTAGATATATCCCACCATCACAAGCTGTTAATGGCCTCTTTTGTTAAATATATAGCAGTTTTCTAAGCTTCTAAGAGATCATGCATCTCACAGCCTCTTGCGTATCAAGAAGAGTTATCCTTTGGAGTCACCTCAAGTTGCAAAGAAAAGATCATTAAGCAGCAGGGACCAAGTTCTCAGCTGGTACAAAATGTCATGGCTTTACTGAGAGAGTGGTTTGTGCTCGTAAAGGACCTGCTTCATTTCTTTAACCTTCACTGGTTACGCTGGGCTGCTTTGGTGCACATGGGTGAAATGACTTGCTCAGAGTTACCGGGTCAGACTAAGGAATGAGCCCCGTAATTCCCCACTCCTATTTCTATGGCTTTAGCTGCTGAATGTCCTTCTTTCCTACTGCTGAACAACGTTTGCACATCAGCAAAAGGGAATGCTGAACTCTGGAAATGCTTCACTCTGTCTCCTTAACTTCAGAGTTTATTGGCTTTCATGCTTAGGGCCAGGGTTTAGTGGTGGGATGGCAGGGTTAGGGGAACGGTTGGGCTTGATGATCTTAAAGGGCTTTTCCAACCTAAACGATTCTGTGATTCAAAACCTCTGCCCTAATGCTTAATGTAATTATGCAGAACTCAAAAAATCTTTTATGAGCTTCCTTTAAAGTCTTGAGTCATTCCATAATTGTATTGTGAAGTCTTTAAAGAGCTTGGGAAATTGTCTAGAATAGCCTTGACCTTCCCCTCTATAATAGTTATGGTAAAAGTGTGAAAATTGCATGCTTTCTACGAAAGGCTGTATTTAAAGATTTTTTCCACATCTTGATTTGTACCAAAACTCCCATATAGTTAAAAAAAAAAAAAAAATCAATATTTTCCCCAGAGGCAGAAGGTTTTAATTTGTGAAAAGAATTATTTGCAAATACAAACTCTCAAGGACAATAAAAGCTAGAAAAGCTAATCTCCGTCCTGCAAACCCTTGGTGTTCAGTGTTCTTTCCAGGGAGCCACTTGCGGGTTGTGCGAGCCCGGACCCCAGTGCCCTGTGCACGTCAGTGTGGTCGCACTTCATTTCCAGGTGACTTTGCACACTGCTGAGCTGATGCCTCAAACACTTTTTCAAAGCCAGTGGAAAATTTCCCACCTGCTTCAAGAGATGCTGGTCTGGGATCCCAGGACTTCACATTCAAAGGTCTTCAGGAGGAGGAAGGCTTGTGTAGGTGTTTAATGGGATTTTTTACAGCACCAAAACACCTAATATCAGTGGGACTCAAGTGGCTACAGCTGCCAGTGAACATCTATGGGGGCCTTTGGGTCCTTATATACCTTTACAGATTGCTCTGGCCTCAGGAAGGAGGATTTAGACAGCGTCCAGGTTAATTTTTGACCTGAAAGTCTTGGGCTTTATGTTGGCTCACCATGGCAAGGACACCTTATGTGATACTGAATCTAAACAATCTCTGTACTCCGGGTTGTTTGGATGCACAAGCGGCCTGGCCTGGCCATATCGCTGTGATCACCAAGCATGGTTCAGTCGGATTCTCCTCCCCATTAAAACCCACCAGATCAGAGGTTTCCGCTCAGCACCGTGACGGGCAGTGACATGCAGCCGAAACACAAAGCCGCGTGTGGATAAGCTTAGCACTGGCTGCTCTCTAGTTTAAAAAAACACCACCACAAATCCTGTGACTGTGTGCTAAATCCTCATTAAAAAAAAAAAAAAAAAAAAAAAAAAGAAAAGAAAAGAGCAAATCCAATACTCCAATGTTTGCCACTGGCAGGAGGGAATGAAACACTAACCCACTTCCATGCTGCTCTCGCTCCCGGAATCAGTGCAGTCCTAAAAGCCATTCAAACACCAGGCTGGCAGCATCTGTGGGATGGGATTAGTCCTCAGGACCAAATCGTTTGCTGTCTCGTACAGAACAACAGCCTTCCCTTCCAGCACTGCCTGAGCAGCAACACTCAGAGACCCGGATCACTCTGCATGGGACAGTGACGATGTGGATGCCCTCTGAGGGTGAGCTCCCAGCAGAAATCTCTGCCTAGACCCTGTCCCACGAAGGCGTGCCTGCGATGTCTGATCGCTCGAGGGATGCAAAGACATGGCAGAGACATCCGCTCTGACTCAGCCAGTGCTCAGAGGTACAACGCCTGCACGGTCCCCAGGGTGGTGACGCTGACCTTCCCAGCCCCACCGCAGTGGCCATGCTCAGCCCAGGCACCAGCTTTCCCTAACACTCTAATGATGAAGCACTTTTCATCCCAGCTTCCTCTTAGCCCTCTATTGCCAAAGATGATTTTAATTCCAGCCAAAACATGAAGCCTTAAAACTACGCAGAGTTTTGCAGGACACAGAAAACAGAGACAGGGCTTGATAAGCTCATGAGAAGACAAATGGAAATTTATGGAAATTAAGTCACAATTCTGGAAGGGAAAAAATGCAGTTATTGACCTCTCTTGGTCAGCTCAACAAAAATCAGACTTGGCGTGAGACTGGAGGACTGGGCATTATGTGAGTTTTCTTCTTCCTTCCAAACAGGAGTGTGGAAGAGACACAGGGGAAGGGACCAGAAAAATCAAGTGACACAAAAGCAGAAGCCAGTTCTGGGGTTTGTGACTCTTCCTAAATCTTTTTGTGTGGAAAACTGCTCCCCTGGCTCTGCTGAGCTTCATGCTGACGTGAGTTGCTCTTGCCAAGACATCCTTCAAATTATTTTGCTGCCGTGGTTTCCCTGGGTTACCACTAAAACCAGACGTCGGCTCGCTTGCTGCGGTGATGGAGAAGATGAGGATACAACTTCACGTGGGGACTCCCCACAGGGCTTAAATGAGTCCTGTAAACCAGAAGTTCTGCAAAGGTTTATTCTCCTGTGCTCTATGGTGACTTCTGGAGGAACACGGACGGAGAGGCCACCTTGGAAGAAGATGGTTTTTCCAGGCTTTTGTCTTATATGCATCTGAAGAGGAGGAGGGGAAATGTTACATGTTACGGGCATTTACAGGTGACCTTCGCTCCCAGCAAAGCTCGATCGCCTGAGCCACCTACAGCTGACACTTCCCATGGTCCATCAGCACATGGCTTTGGAGGGGTGCAGAACAGTTAATGAGTATTTGTGGACACTTCACGAGGTCTTGGTGCACTTAAGTGGTTAAAAGCAGAAAATTAAGCTACAGGCTCTTCCTGAAGATACAGTCACAAGTTCAACACCTCCACTGAAAGTATTTATAATAAAAAAGCCAAGAACCAGGACTATTCATAATATTTTCATTGAAAGAGTTTTGATGAGAATATGTTCCTTTAGCAAGATCATAAAAGGTTTTTGAACTCGCGCCTTGTGTTTTCCCACAAGCTGGCCTTTTTTCTAAATAAGTAAATGAAGTCCCACGAAGCAAATGAAGCGTGAAATGCTGGTCGCA